AGACAGCAAAATTGGCCAGAGATATTCCATTCCATGTATCTACGTAAGCTCAGAGGAAGGTCAGAGATCACAGAAGACAACTTCCTTCCTGCTGCTTCTCTCCTTCTCTTCCCTCCATGGCCGGTGTCCGGGAAGGACTCCGTCCATCCATCACCATCGACCCCCAGGCTCGAGCTCTCCTGACCCTCATCATTCTGCTCTCTCCAGCAGCTCTGGGATTTTTTGGGACTGTTCGCAGCTCAGGAGATGCTGTGGGAGTTGCTGGGGGGGAGGCAATAGGGGTTTTGTACATTTCCTGAACATATTTGTATGTAACTGTACATATTTTCTATTATCATTAGTGTTTAATTAAAGCTGTGTAGTTTAGTTTGCAATCCAGCGAAGTCTCTCTCTTATTTTCTCTCTCCTTCCTTATCTGAGTGGGAGGAAGAGGGGATTGAGAGCATTGTTGTTGGACCTGAGTCAGATGGTAACATTATATGAAGGCTTGAACATCATCAAACATATACTTCTATGGTGCCACATCTCTCTGGTCCTTTATCCTCCCCCATACCCACATCATGGGCTATCAAAGAACAGGGGTGTATTAACATGTTGGTGAATGATTAACTTAGTTTGTGTCAGCTGAGATGAACCCAGTGCCAAGGCTGTCTCCTTGTCTGTGGCAAATGAAAAGTGAAATGTTCTCATTGAAACCACTGAGGGGGTTTATTTGATTAGTGTGACACCTGTGGAAAATCTGCTTATTTTTAAGACATGACTCAAGAAAGTATTATGTGAGGGTTTTTTTTACATATTCTGCCTCTATTTGTTTTCAAGGCCTTTAGTATTATGTGGATGCAGAGAGCCTTAAAAGCAAAATTCCTTGTACAGTATGGGGCATAATGCTGGTATAACATAGCTTACTTCCTAAAGACAGTATCCTCTCTTACCAGCTGAGAAATAAAAGGTCAGACTACTGAGGGGAGCATCACAAAAAATTCCTTAGGAAGCTGGTGAACAACATCATGAATTTATTCGCTTTGTTGGGGTGCTTGTGCTTCCTGTTGCTGCTTGTCAAAGACAAAGTAGTTTTTTTTATGTTGTCCCTCCCTGGAGGGCAAACCATCAGTTTTTTTTTTTTTTTTTCTCTCTTTTTTTCTCTCTGTTATGAAGCCAAGAGTGATGTATCTTGGCAGCACCTTTCTCCTAGAGTATGGCAGAGGAAATTAATGTGTTTTTTTTTTTCTTACTAGCAGCAGCTCCCAACAGTCAGTTTTACTTAACCCTGTCTGTAGTGAGAGCTGCCTGCACTCACAGATACTCATTGGGATTGACCCCTAGAAATGAAAATATGGGAAACAATTCTATATAAAATGTACCAGCTTCTTGACTCATCCTTTCATACCATATTCTAAAGGAAAGAGTAAACTGAGAGTTTGCATGTCCTGGTGGCAGCCATGCTGAATCATGATAAATTATACATAAAATGTATCAGGGTAACATTAATACCTACCAGAAAAGACTAAAAGCTGTCTTGAACCATTATCATAGAAACTTTTCACCCATAGGGCAATAACTTATCAAGACATCAGCTGCTGACTGTTGAAGCAGTCATCACTAAGAAAAGCAGAGCAGAAGATATGCTCACTGTAATTGTGAGATGCATATGAAAACCTTTCTGTGGAAATGGTATGTATAGGTGAGCTGTTGCTCTGTAGCAAATAATTACAAGTGTTTCTAAGATCTGTGTGGAATAATTTTTTCAAGAAGAGCACATAACCAGTAAAGGAGTTTTTAAAATAGACAAACAAAAAAAAAATAAAAAGAGAAATAATAGACTAAAGGAACTTACAGTTGGGAGCTACCTATTTAATTTCCATGCCATTTATATGATGTGGTTTTGTTTACTACTAGTTGTGTAGCTTTCTTTGCAAGTTCTAGCTTAGAAAGTATTTGTTGGCTGTGTTTTTTGTTGTTGTTGGTTTTTTTGTTTGTTTGGTTTTATTTCTCCCAAATGTGCAGATAATTATTTGGTGGGAAAACTGAATGCAAATCCAGTTAGACAGACCATGAGTTTGGTTTATGTCTTTTTCCATATATTGGAAGAAAAGTCTGCAGTTTTTAAACTCTGGGCTCATGTTGGTAATTAATAATCTTGTGCACATGAGGACAAAGAAATATTTGAAGTGTCTTAACATGTCTTCTGCTTCCTTAGTTTTGGTGATTTTCAAAAAATTCCACTTTTGTCTTTTAGAAGAGCATTGCTCCAGTATCTTGCTTTATTCAGTGTTCTGTTTATGAATTTGGGTATTCATATAATTTATTCCTATAGTGAACATGGATGTCTTGTACTTTGCAAGGCTGTTTGCAGCCCATCAAGTCGGGAGAGTCCTCTGTAACTGCTGACACTGGTAAGGGAATTGGATCATCAGAGGCCATCTCAGGCCTGTGTCTTTCATTCTGAGAATGAGATGCTTCCTTGTGCTTTATGTGCAGAGTTACATAGGTTGATACTCTCATACAGAAAGAACACAGATCTTTGCTTGCTCAAGTGCTTTAAGTGAAGGTTTGCATGAGATGCTTCTAATGCTCAATTTGCAATAGTTCTTTACTTTCTCAAGGTCATTGAGACCCCACTGGCAAGTGCTAGTAGCATCAACTGCTCTAAACATTGTGTGAGAATCAATCTGTAAAAATTGTGATTGATAAGTAAACATAAAACAAAGATGAGTCTCACTGGCATATTATAACATCTAGTCAACTGCTTATTCCTATAACTGGAAAATTTTTTGCTAGTATATCCTATTACAAAATGGAAAAGAATTGTTTAAGCAACCATCAATCTCTTAAGTCCTGTATCCAGAAAGTGGCCATATTGACAATGAGAATCTAGGAGTAAAGGCAAATTGCTATACAAGAGCTAAAAAATATTCTTCTGTTTGTGCATCTTTTTAGTGAATTGTAACAGGAGAATACTTCAAAGGCTATTTTCTGCTAGGCCTCATTAATCCAGTTTCCAGTCTCTGTGTTCCCCAGGCTACACGGTCCAAGCTGTATTGGGTGCATCTGCTACCAAATTGACACTTCATTTATTCATGCATTTGCAGTAGTTTTATACTCATACCATTGCTGTGTAAAATTACTCCTCTCTGATAATCTTAATTTAAATATGTATGGCTTGCAAGAGTAGAAAATGCCTATTAGAAGAATATTGAAGTTCATCCCCTGCAGGATGAACTGTCCCATTGCAACACAGGAGAAAACATCTATCCATACAAAGGTCAACATGCAGAGAAGCATCATATTTTTAGCATTTCTTGTAGTTGAATGAGTTTTCAATGAATTTTCAGATTAACTCGATTTGGTTTTTTAAGGTGTGTGCAGTATCATATAATGAATAGAAACAGGACATGTGCTGTATATTGTGAGAGTACCCAAGTGGCCAAACCATGGGATGTGCAGAATCTGACCAGGAAATCTGCCCTTTATTCTTCCTATCCAGGGTTGAAGAAGATACAGGAAATTTCCTGTGAAAACTACTATTCAATGTGTATTTTTTTCCGTGTGTGTGTAAGAGTGATTTCATTGAGTATTGTAAAATTGAGTTGTGTTCTAATACCTTTGCATTGAACTGGGTTTCACATGTGCCTTCGTCTTCCAGTACTCTCGTAGGTTCCCAGATGCTTGTCTTCTGTGGTGCTGCCATTCAGATGAATACAGTAGAACTTGAACTGTTAAATGGATTTCCAGCTCAGATATTATCTCCTGCAGAATCAATCTTGTGATAAACTGTGTGTGTCAAGCTGTGTTTACTAAGCTATACAGTAACAGATTGCAACTCTTGTAGCAGGTGAAGGGACTCTTTCATTCTAGGTTAAGAGCTACACTGACTTTAAGAAGTGGTGGAGATTGAAGGACTAGTATTAGTTGATAAATACTTTTCTCCTTTTCTATAGTTTTTGTTTAATTTGGATACCGTAAGCAGCAATACATTCAAGATCTCTGGCTTCCCTCTGGGTTCCATTTGGCAGAAGCAATTTCTGTCGTGCTGTGATGCAATCTTTTGGTAGTCCACAAGCACTGCTACATTAAAAAAAGGACGTTTTTTATTCAGACTGTAAAACGACTCCATTTTAGATACCTGTATATAGAATAAATGGTTGTGCTTCATTTAATTTCATTACATACAAGAGTGTATGTCATGTCTTACTTTGCTAATAACAATTTCTTGCAGTGAGGCATGGTTTTGATGTATTACTGGTATGGGAATACAGCAAAAAGTAGGCAGTTTTGAAAGAAACGGCTTTTATGAATAAGGATGTAATTTATTTAGTGTGTTAACATCAAATTACATTATCCTGATTAATTAGGTACATGTATCATGAAAAAAAGCATTATTTGAAGTGCACAGGGTTTGGGTTTTGTTAGTTTTTGTGTTACATAATCTTAATTTCACAACAACGATTCTCACAGACTAAGAACACAAAGCCTATATTGTATTAAAGTGAACAGTTGTATCTGCAGTGCAGTCCTGAGTCTGTGGAAGTAGTGTAGGCCTTTGTGTGTTAAGGAAAGGCTAAAGAAAAATAACTCATCACTGCTAATGCCATTAATTGCCCAATCTAGTACATTTTTCTGGTCATTGCCTGAGAAGAAACTACCTCTGCTTTGCTGATTATGCAATGTTATATTTGGGGGATAGAGGGAAAGGGAATGAAAAGGTACCCTTGTAGATGTGTTTGCAACTTGAGTATTTACCTGAATGACTCTCTTGTCCTTACTCAGTGATCTATGAGTTCCTCTTATTAGGATCATTGCATCTTTCACAATGTTTCTGCTTCTGCATAAAATAGGTAACATATAGTGTGTTTGTTCAATAAAGTCTTCATGTAGAAAGTCAGGGAAATGACCTTTAAAGAACAAAGTCAAGTATTAGTTTAATACTGAAGGAGAGTATTAAAAGGTTGTGAGATACTTTCAAAACAAATTAGTAAAACATTTATTTCATTTCTTTATAGATTCCGGACAACCAGGAAGTCCAAGCCACAATGATCCTGCCAAGAATCCACCAGGTAAATAAAAGTTCCAGAACACGTGCATCTAACATTGTTTGAGAACAAAGATACTACTGTAAATAGTTAAAGAGAGCATAATTGGTCAGCAACCTATTTTACACTACTAAGTACATATAATCAGGACAAGCTGTGATTATTTTTGTTCTTCTAGACTGGCAATGCCTCAGTTGTAATTTCATCAACATTCATTTAATCTAAGGAATTTTCTTTGAGTTCATGGTTTTTAGAATTTTGTAAATGGGAGTGGGCAAAGGAGTAAGGAGACAAGATCATGGAATCATGAAATCACAGAATGGTTAAGGTTGGACAGGACTTAAAGATCATCAGGTTCCAACCCCCCTGCTATGAGCAGGGACACTTCACACTAGACCAGGCTGCACAAAGGCTCATCCAGCCTGGCATTAAATACCTCCAGGGAGAAGGCTTCCGCAACCACCCTGGACAGCCTATTCCAGAGCCTTACTACACTCATGGTGAACAATTTCTTCCTGATGTCTAACCTAAATCTCTCCTTTTTCAGTTTAAAACCATTACCCCTTGTACTGTGCAAAGGCCCTCTCCAGCTTTCCTGTAGCCCCTTCAGGCACTGGAAAGCTGTTGTAAGGTCTTCCCGGAGCCTGCTCTTCTCCAGGCTGAACAGCCCCAACTCTCTCAGCCTGTCTTCATAGCAGAGGTGCTCCAGGCCTTTGATCATCTTGGTGGCCCTTCTCTGGACCCTTTCCAACAAGTCTATATCTTTCTTGTGCTGAGGACACCAGAACTGTACACACTACTCCAGGTGGGGTCTCACCAGAGCAGGGCAGAGGGGCAGAATCCCCTCCCTGGCCCTGCTGGCCACACTTCTTCTGATGCAGCCCAGGACACAACTGGCTCTCTGGGCTCCAGCACACGCTGGCAGTTCATGTCAAGCTTCTCACCCACTACCACCCCCAAGTCCTTCTCCTCAGGACTGCTCTCCAGCCATTCTCCCCCCAGCCTGTATTTGTGCCTGGGGTTGTGCCAATCCAGGTGCAGGAGGACCCTGCACTTGACCTTGTTGAACTTCATGAGGTTGGCACTGGCCCACCTCTCCAGCCTGTCAAGGTCCCTCTGGATGGCATCCCTTCCCTCTAGAGTGTCAACCACACCACACAGCTTGGTATCATCAGCAAACTTGCTGAGGAGACACTCAGTCCTACTGCCCATGTCTCCAACAAAGGTCCCACATAACTTTACTTTTATAAAAGTATTAAAATGCTACAATTATTCTTTTATCTCAGAAAACACGGAATTCACTTACGGCCTGAGCTACCAGCTTCTTTACATGTGTATCATAGAATGCAAATATGTTAATTTTAAAATATTTTCTGTATCAGCTCAGAGCAATTTTAAAACATTTTGTTAATGGGTCATGCTAGTGACATTTATCTTTTTTTTGAGAGAGATGTCAGCGTAAACAGTTCTTTTAAGTATTCTCTAAAAATAAAAATTCAAGATAAAATTAAACACACACTTTGCTGTTCCACACTGTTTAGACCAAAGATTCTTTGTATTTTCATGGAGTTAGCCTTCTAATCAATTGGGCTGTCCTAGTAAATCTTGTAAATCTTTGGTTTTTTATGAATTTCATCAAGATAAGACAAAAAAGTGAGACAGACACACTGTCTCTTCCTCATGGCACTCCTGCCACAAGTCATGCTGCAGCTACTCATTTCAGCTCTTAGAACTGTATATATGAAATAAGCTGCAACTAACTCAGTTCCTAAATGCAAAATTAACAAGATTCTAACCAAGAATTAATTGTGTGATGCTAGGCTGTTACAGATACATGAATATTTTCTGGATCTGGCCAAACATTAGGTGAAACAGGTTGTGTTGTGGTTGTACAGTTTTGTACTATGCATATGATAAAATTATTCTCTATTTGTGGTGGAATTTGTATTGTGTGTTGCATATGAATAACCAAAAGTGGGAGAACCATCATAGATCATTATACACAAAGCCATGTTCCTGTCATATAAAGACTAGAAACATACCCTGGAAGATTACAGATGTGTTTTAGAGATATGAGGACAGAACAAGTCAAAGAACATGGCAAGCTCTCTCTCAAGTGATTTTTTTCAGTGTGATTTTTTTTTTTTTCCAAGGGATGATGCAGGCTGCAGGCTTTGATGCTGTTTCTCTCCAAACTGTGTGGGAATTTATGAGTAGGCTTTTATTTCTCTATTAAATGTGGGACATAAATTATGTAGGATAGTGATTTAAAAGACCAAAGCAGCAAATTTACACCTAAAACAAGCCTGAAAAATTTCCTCATAGGTAATAACTGTTTTGTAAAACTTGGTGCATTTAGCTGTAGAACACTTATTTTTGTTTTAGAACGTTTCTGTTTGTGAGTGCAAGAAAAGCTGCATATATTTCCCCTGATTTTGAGGGATCCTTTGTAGCCTCTGGGTTTGAGAAACTGAAGGTGGAGTCTGAAAACTATACATGCAGCTATTGGAGAAATGGCAGAGGAGGACCATGAAGATGATCAGAGGGCTGGAGCACTTCTGCTGTGAAGACAGGCTGAGAGAGTTGGGATTGTTCAGCCTGGAGAAGAGAAGGCTCCCTCATGGCAGCCTTCCAGTAATGGAAGGGGCTACAGGGAAACTGGAGAGGGACTTTTTACAAGGGCTTTTAATAAAAGGGCAAGGGGTTATGGCTTTAAACTGAAAAAGAGTAGGTTTAGGTTAGACATTAGGAAGAAATTCTTCACTGTGAAGGTGGTGAGACTCCGGCACAGGTTGCCCAGAGGAGTTGTGGATGCCCCCTCCCTGTCAGTATTTAAAGCCAGACTGGATGGGGCTTTGAGCAACCTGACTTTAATTTGGCAGCCTTGTAGGGCAAGATGAGATACCCCAAGGTGTCACAAAGCCCAGTGTCTCAGAGGTAGAGTGATAAAGAGGGCAGATAAATCTGTTGGTGGTTTCGTCATGAAGCTCTTTCCTTGAAATTTGACCATAACACTTTCTCATTGTTTGGAGCTAATTCTAGAAATATTATTCCTTTATCTACTGCCAAGTGGGGACAGAAAATGGAAGCTGTGCTTGCTTCCCTTGAAACCCTTCATTTAAGCAGAGACAGTGGCTTAATTGAATGTCATGTGTTTATTTGAGGATACATAAACTTCTACCATTGTTCAGCTTCCCTGTTTGACACTGCCTTGGGGTTAAACTGGCAGGGAGAAAGCATTGAGGTTTGTGAGACTACAGAATACAGGACTTATGGGGCTGTGCAGGGGAATGAGAGGGAGTTGCACTCTGTTCAGCTTGTCTGGGAAAAGGACTACTGTCCTTTTTACTGCACTTCACATGAGTTATATTATTAGAACCAGGCAGTCACTTCTGTCAGAGCCCCAGAGGATATCCACTCTGAGGTTTGTTTTCAGTCTCAGGCCAGAAACACATGGACTGGCAGTGCCAGGAGAGTTTGTTCGTCTATCATGTTTTGGTCTGATGCCTGTATGTCAAGGAGCCAGGGCGTTGGCAACGGATAGGTGCTGTTAAGCTTTTGGATGCCACTACCTTAACAGACATTGCCAAGTAAGATGAGGTTGGAAACTGACTGGTAGTTGGCGAGGCTGCTGGTGTTAAAAGTGGGTTTTTCTAGGTTTGGCTAGACTGTTGCATTCTTTAGGTTGTCTGGTAATTTGCTGTCTTAACTATGGAGGGAGGGTAATGTCACTTGCCAAACAAACATTAAGAGCACTTGCTGGAATTCTTTACAATACATTCCTAAAAATACACTAAATACTTTGGTAGCATAATGCAGTACAAGGATGGTGTAGCTTGTGAAAATGGTGTGTAGCTTTCGTAGCAAAATCCAGGGCTATCCTCCTGTAAGATTCATTTTTTAATAACTTATCTTATATATTTTTAAACAATGAAACCTACTTTTCTGAGACATGGGTTGTAAAGTAATCTTCTCTGCAAGGATTTTTAAGTAGGTTCCAGACAGACGAGCTGAACACAATTGTCCACATCAGTCATTAAGTTTCTGGAATCTACAAGTTTATGTTTTGCTAGCATGGTGCTATTAGAAGTTTACACAGTTTCAAAGAGAGAATGGTCATACCTGTGGATCCACTGAGAGTGACTAAACAGATAGAGGCATGCCTGAAATAAAAAGTTTTAAAACTGAAAATATTTGGAACTTTGGAACTGTCAGTCAAAAACAAAACCCAAACAGTTTAGGCCTGCCCTGTTTCTTACTGTTCTACTGGGCATCTGCTCAAGGCTACCACTGAAGGCAGGCTGTTGAAAGAGACTTAGTGAGGCAGTTTCAGTATAATGCTGTATTATTTGCTCCCTGCAAGTCCCACACGTCTTTTATATGTATTTAAAAAATCTAAAAAATGAACCTTCTTTAGCATGTGTGTATTGAAATATCTGCAAAGGTGTGGGAGGATAGGTACTGAAGACAGTACGTTTCAGAAGGTTCATCTGTTATGCGTAAGAAAATTATGAGGGTGAGTAAAAAGAGAAAAACATCTAGAACTTGTTAGTAAGATAATTGTATTGACACAACTGTAACAATTTTGTCTCCAGCGATACAATCCTTACTAGCCAGTTCTTCTGTTAGAGGATTTTTTTTTAGTTTTGTTCTGCTTCATTTTTCTTTCCCTTACTTACTGTCCACTGGCCACAACTATTTGACATTAATAGGGTTACTTGCTACCTGCCATTGGTGTGAGGTTGCTGCCTGGTAGACTTGATTTAATAATATACAATACAACACTGCTGTGTCCAGCTGTTGCCATGTTGCTCAGATCTTTGAACACAGCTTTTTTAAGCTGCTAAAATGTAAGAAATAGAAGTACTGATAGAGTAAAATGTTACCCTAATATGACACTAAGATAGAATAGAGAGTTGAATGCGATTTGAAGAGTCAAGAGAACCAGGAACTCGAGGAAGTGATTATCAGTTCCTACTGGTGTTTCATGTTCTTCATCTTTTGTCTCCTGCATGGGAGAATAG